CACTAGCTTTTGATCCTGCTTTTCCAGCAAGAGGCTGATGGTCTTACTGGTGTAACAAAGCAACCGCTGCTTCCACAGGCTGGTCTGGTGTTAGAAAGTTAGGCATGTGCAATACTTCTTAGCCATGATGCCTTCTGCTCCCATCTTGCCAGGTAGCAAACGCCACCCAGAGATTCACGTTAAGAGGAAGTTTTCAGGTAGCTGACTGAAACATGCATTTTGCTTCTGTGAATACGAGAATGGGAGCTGTGACACTTGATATGTTACGTCTGAACGCAAGTTTAGTTCTATGGGTTTTTATTTTTTCATATCGTCTCCTGATTATAAGAAAGGAGGAAGAGCCCCCGGAGGCGGGCAGCCCCTCGGGTGCAGGCTCAGCCGTCCTCGGTTAGCATTCAGGGACACTTCAGAATAAATACCCGTCGTACAGGGTGTGGGACTGGTAATGCGCTTTCATAGTTGACTACACCTGAAAGCAAGTTTAGTTCTATGGGTTTTTATTTTTTCATATCGTCTCCTGATTATAAGAAAGGAGGAAGAGCCCCCGGAGGCGGGCAGCCCCTCGGGTGCAGGCTCAGCCGTCCTCGGTTAGCATTCAGGGACACTTCAGAATAAATACCCGTCGTACAGGGTGTGGGACTGGTAATGCGCTTTCATAGTTGACTACACCTGAAACAGTTTATATGCGGAGGTTCAAAATTGCAAATTCATTTGATGCTGTTGGCCAGGAAGTGTAACAAGGCGAGGCTCAGTTTTGGACACTGCCGGTAATGTGTCCGAGTGAGATAATCACTGTGCATGGCTGTCCTTGGTTTTCCTTCTCCTTTTGCACAGCTTTCCCCTATTTTGGGTCGGCGGGAAATGAGACCATCCAACTGCCATCTTTCCTGCTTTGCTTCTGCTCTGTTAAAGGCTGCTGGCAAAGCAAATGAGAAGTCAGAACTGTCAGCCAAAAAACAATTGTAGCTCACAGTGAAAAAGAACATATACGCTCCCCTTTGGCAAATCCAGTCTTTTCACATCTGCTTAAAGGGTTTAAGCAACATGTGGACTTGGCCAAGAAAGGGCCCGTAGAGTCTCAGTGATGATTTGCTGCTGAATACTGTCATTTCAAGGAGGCAGCTGTACTTTGTGTCGGAAGTCACTATGACGCAGGGTCATTTGGTCTTTCCTTAGCTGAGATCTGTCCAGGAATTTGACTTCTGTCCTAGGTACACACATCTAAATGGTCTAACAACCATGCTACTGCTTTAGAATAGCTTGCTATCTCCAACCCTGCATGCACTGGGGGATCTTTCTCCATAAAACAATATTTGCAGATTATAAATAGTTAGTTCTTATGTTAATACAGCAGGGGCTAGAGACAGAATCCTTCCTTGGAGCTTTTATAGATGAAATTCATTAAATGTTGGAAACGCTTCTTTTCAAACAAGCAACGTGACTTCTGATGCATTAGACCAATTCAACCAAGCTTAGGGTTCTTCACTCAGGCCAGTGGCCACAAAATTGTATTCACACCTTAAGCTGTTTGGCATATGAAGAGTTCAGTGGCTTTCTTATCTTTGTTTTTTACACTAGGAAAAAATAAGCGATTGCATCCCTCGCACATCCCGACATCCCTGTTTTCATTCTCGGCACCTCGGGGGGGTAGAAGACAGCTCCCTGGTTGAACATTCAGGGCTTTTGCCTCTTACGAGACTCCAGAGTGCCAAATGAGTGTGAGCCCTTTTCCACTGGAGCTGGATGGCAGTCACAGATCACTTTTATGTGGGCCACCAGCCAGTCATTGTGTGGGAAGGACCCTGAATTTCTAGCAACACTAAGTTTTAATCATTTCAGCTATAGATCTGCATTCTGCATTTCACCTTCTCTTGAATTTCCCCAGATTTCTTTCTGTTTTCCTTTTTGGGCTCTATCTTTCCTTCAAAATCAACTAATTGCTCGCATTCCTGTCATTCTGCCATATAACATTGTTAGTATCGCAGATGATACTGCGTAAATGTTAATAGAATCATTGATGCCTTTTTGTCCTTCAGCTGTATTTTTTCAGTGAATTCCTTGTACATGGGGTCCCCATAGGATCTTACTGTAGTACTTTATTTTCTGAACATAAGAGGTTTGCTTTTGCAAGCCTCTGTTATTACCTCTTTATTTCATCATGCCTGGTTTTAAGTACTGAAATAGAATATTTTCCTGTTTCTATAATGTTTTGGTTCTTAAGACTTCTTGACTGTAAAATCACATGTAAAATAATCATATGTAATCATATGTAAATCTATGTAAAATCATAGATTTTTGGTAGTCCGCTTCCTGCAATCTTTTTTCTGCATTTTATATTACTGTATATTTTTTTTTCCCCTTATTCTTTTTCTGTATCAATATAGCACCGAAAAGCCCATGCTTCTTACAGCCTTTAGCCAGGCATTACAACTGATGCGGCAAGGTAGCCCACCTGTCCCAAGGCAGCGAGGTCCAGGTGACTCAACCTGTGTTCCAGATACACACCTCAAGCGTTAGTCCTCTGCTGGGGAGTCATCCATCAGTCTGGGCATGGGAGCTGTATATCTTAATTAGGTGGCTAAAATGCTCAGTAAAAACTGTGGCTTTGTCCCCGGGAAGAGGTGGTAGGGATTTTAAAGGGGGCTCCTTGAGTCTGAATCGGCTCTGCAATGAGCATGAGATTAGGAAGTCAGCAAGGACTACTATGTAGCACCAAGAATGAGGGCACGGATGAGGAACTTGCTACCCAGAAGTAAATCTTAAATCCTGCGGTCACTCTGTCCTAAATGAGAGTTTGAGCAAAGATGAGGGACCTGGGAAGAGAAGCAAAGCAGGACTGAAAGAGCTACATTTGAGTTTCTACAACTGCAGATCTGGAGTTGAGATGAGATATTGCTTGTCTTTACTCAGTAACCTAAGTAATCCTCCTTATTAGGAGAGGAGAAATCTATCCACAGCTGTGGAAGGCTGGAAATGTTCTTGGAATGATGAAGACTTGTTAAGTGCAGGTGGCAGAAATGGATTGCTGCTTTTGTGCGGTGTTTATTCTTGAAAAGGTAAACTTTGGCTTTCTGGCGAAGTCCCAAATCACCTCAATAAAAGAGCCATGTTGAAAACTTGAAAGGGTTGTTGTGCACTGAGGAAGGAAACGGGTAGAGGTTGACTGTCGTATGATATTGAACTGTGGATAAACGAACCTTTGAACTGCACCCTGCTACGAGCTTTAAGGTGTGAACATTACAGGAAATGTATTCTTTGGTATCTATCTGGGTTTGGAAGTATATAGTATACTCAAACTATACTATATACTTTGTATACTTTGATATAGTATATCTCAAAGTGTGATGAGGTTGATAAAAGTTTTGAGTGTATCAGTATTTATAATTGTTGAAATCACAGTTAGGCAATGCCAATAACTCTTCCCCCCCCCCCACAGAAGACAGTTTTTTTT